AAACCCAGCCTTACTCATATGGAAAAGAGAAAGCTTTCGAGACCTTCATTTGCTGATGTGGCACCACTCAAATTGAAGAGAAACAGCTGTAGACATCCATTAATCATCGGAACATGGAATGTACGAAGTATGAATCTAGGAAAATTGGACCAGAGACATAGGAAGATATAATTTGAGACCCATTTTAGTCGTTCTCTTTTCTCTCCTCTCTCCTTTGAAATAAGTATGCGACTACAAAGTACATGAAAAAATGGACTGTTTATGATTCTAAGCATTTGGGGGCCTATTAGTTCTGAGCCTGCCATATAATGCTGTGTTGTTCTGAGTCTCCCAGTTCTGCAGATAGATGCTGCCTTGACCATCTTCAAAGGGGGATGTCCTTTGGGGGGTTTGTCTTGTGTGTTAGCCACAAGGGTGGGCTCTGGGAAAGGCAGGCAGCTCACTGAGCAGTAGCTTTCTACTTGCTCCCTTCTGTTTGGAAGAATGGCAAAATGCCATCTAGTTATTGGTGACTGGTGTTGATATCTTTGCACCTGGGCCTGCTTCTTCAGGCCACCTGGGCATCTGCCTTTCCCTGCTTCTCACGCTGGATGGTCAAGCCGATCATTGCACTTTTGAATGCTAATCATTGCACTCAGTGAAGTTCTTTACAAGTTCAAACACGATACAAAGAGATTGGATTTCTGTTGAGGAGGATCACCTAAGTTGTTGTAGTTGGCCTAGAATGGGAGCCTAGGCATAAACCATACCTTTGTACGGTATTATATAAATGTATACCAAACAAAAACCAAACTCACTGCTGTCGAGTTGATTCAACTCATAGCGACCCCTCCTTGGGTTTGTTTCCAAGGCAGTATCTCTATGGAATTAGATCGCCCAGTCTTCCTTCCGAGGAGCGGCTGGTGGGTTTGAACTGCCAGGCTTCTGGTTAGCAGTCAAATGCTAACACTACACCACCAGAGTTCCTATAAATGTGTACAGTATGTTTCTATTTATCCAGTGTTCTTCTCATTCTGATCTGCAAGGCCATGGTAAGCCCAGAGTTATAGCAGATCTCACCTCTTTCTCTTCAGAGTTTGGTTGGCAAACTATGGTCTGTGGGCCCAATCCAGTCTGCTGACTGTTTTTGTACAGCCCAGGAGCTAAGAATGGCTCTTACAGTTTTAAATCGTTGGGGAAAAAAGCAAAAGAAGAATGATATTTGTGACACATAAGAATTATATGAAATTCAGATTATCATCAGTGTTTGTGAAGATTTGTTGGCACACAGCCACGCTTATTCATACACATATTGTCTATGACTGCTTTCACATTACAGCAGCAGAGAAGAGTAGTAGCTCTAGAGAGCATCTGGCCTGAAAAGCCTAGCCTATTTACTATGGGCCCCTTTGCAGACATGTTTGCTGAGCTCTGTTCTAGACCCACACGTGTGCACTTGATTTCAGCGAGCTTGAGCTTGATCATCTGTATGTTCTCCTGACACATCCAACTCAACGTATTTAAAACTACATTCATGTGCACTCCAAACTAATTCTTTCACCTGACTGTTTCTGTTAAGGTATCATCAATCTCCTTGTCCAGGGTTTCTCAATCTCAGCACTGACATTTGGAGCTGGATAATTCTTTGTGGTGGGGGACTGTTGTGTTCACTGTGGCATGTTTAACAGCATCCATGGCTTCTACCCACTAGTAGAAACCAGTAGTGTCTTCCCCTCCAAGTTGGAACAACCCAAAATACATTCAAGCTTTGCTAACTGTTTGGGGTAAGGGGAGCAAAATTGTCCCTGGTTGACAACTACTGCCCTAGACCAATAGGCTTGAAGTT